TCCATCCTGATGCTACCGATTGGTCCAGTGGTGAGAATTTTTGTCTTCTTGACATTGAGCCTCAGAGCTTGGAAGCAGGAGTGGCATCCACTTCCGAAATAGCTTGCCTCTGGAAACCCTGTGAACTTGGAAAACAATGCAAGTTATACGAGTGTTCAGGTCTTTCATTCATACGGTCGCTCCGAGTCCTCTAAGACGCGACGGCACTTAATAACAACAACAACAACATAGAAAGAGCTCTTTGGCCTTGTGGATAGAACGTGATGCTACCAAGTCAGAGGTGGGTGATTTTAATCTGCGGCCCTCAGGCCTGGTTTTAACTCTTTTTGGTCAGAAATTCTCATAGGTGGTATAGCCCTGGTCAGTGTGTTGTTGTACAGAGGTAACTCGTGGTTGCTGTGATGCTGAACGCTGTGACACTGATGTGTCAAACGTGATAGTGGTCACCCGTGGTGGACAGTGTGGGCTCATCCTAACCCCTCATTTCTTCTATGATGGTCTTTCTCTCTCTGAGGAAAAACAGACTAAGACCTTTTTTTCTTTTAAAGATTGGGAACTGTTGGCTGAAACCGAAGAGCTTGGCACCGAGCGCAGCCAGCCTGTGGAGACATTGACTCAGTGGGTGGGAACAGACGAGCTGGCCATCCACGCAGAGTCTTCAGATGGACAGCAGGACAGCGAGGCGAGGCCGGTGACGCCGCCGGAGCCCCAGCACCTCACGCAGGAGCGCTCAGGCTGGGAGCTCGCTCAGCCACCAGCCCTTCCTCCGGACAGTCTTCCTCAGCCCCCAGAACTCTTCCCAGACTGGGGTCTCCATCAGCCCCCCAGACTCTTCCCAGACTGGGGTCTCACGCAGTTCTCAGAACTCCCTCCAGACTGGGACCTCACTCAGGAACCAGAACTTTGTCCAGATGTGCGGCTCACACGGCGGCCAGAACCTTCTCCGGACTCAGAGTCCCCAGATGTGTGGCTCACACGGCGGCCAGAACCTTCTCTGGGGTCAGAGTCCCCAGATATGCAGCTCACACAATGGTCAGAACCTTCTCCAGGGTCAGAGTCCCCAGATGTGTGGCTCACACGGCGGCCAGAACCTTCTCCAGGGTCAGAGTCCCCAGATATGCAGCTCAGACAATGGTCAGAACCTTCTCCGGGCTCGGAGTCCCCAGATGTGTGGCTCACTCAGCGACCAGAACCTTCTCCAGGGTCAGAGTCCCCAGATGTGTGGGTCACACGGCGGCCAGAACCTTCTCCGGGGTCAGCGTCCCCAGATATGCAGCTCACACAATGGTCAGAACCTTCTCCAGGGTCAGAGTCCCCAGATGTGTGGCTCACACGGCGGCCAGAACCTTCTCCGGGCTCGGAGTCCCCAGATGTGTGGCTCACACGGCGGCCAGAACCTTCTCC